TAGCTAAGCAAATAAAACATTTGAACTTAAAATCTGTTTTTACTAATACTTTACTAATATTAAGCATTCTGAAATACTAGCATAGTTATACAAACACATAGCTGTAACATTAGAATCTCAAAATATCTGTTAACAAAATGTTATTGTACTCAATTTGTAGAAAATTTACTGCAGCAATTTATATATCCCAAATCATCCCAGAAGATAACATGATTCATTCTGGATCAAATATCCACATTTATTTCTTAATATCATTTCTTATCAATTGTTCTCTGGTTAAATATAATAGGTCCAATTTCCAAAATTGGTCCCTCAAAATTCCAGATGAAATTATTTTGCAGTTTAATGTGATAAATCCATCCCTTAATCTCCTTTAATTTTCACAGAGAAAAGCAATTTATCCCCTGTCTACTCAGTCAGATTTTTGATGTTGTGAAGGAATGTAGGCTTGAACTTCAAAGAGGGGTCAAATCAACTCAAATTAGTTCTAAGTCTGCAAGCATTAGGCCTGTAGATTCCTTATTTCTTTTCGTCAAATCATCTGCTTTCAAATTACATTCCTTTTGTGAGTCTGATTAATATATGGTTAGATATATCTAAACATTTTCCACAATCATTATCATTTTATCAAACTTTCAAAGAAAGTTTCAAATAGGAATTGCATATTGCCAGTCTTTTTTCAAAAGTCAGTCACTTTTACTTATTTATAATCTGATATATTGTGGCTCTGTGTAACTTGGCAATAAATAAAATGTGATTTACATTAATTTCTATAGAATTTCACCTAGGTCCATGGCACCACAAAGAAACAGGAATGAAAATTTCTTAGAAAATTAGATGGTTTTACAGCTCAATTTCTATAGCTACTAAAATAGCTTTCTAATTTTTACAATATAATGTAAAACTACGTAGAAATGTTACCTTTTTTTGTTCAATGGAACTTAGGTAATTCTTTCTCCTCCAGCTTTTTCTTTAAAGTATTCCTGTTTGTTTGGCTGATATTGTTGAAATAGATCTTCCACATTCTTTCAGCCAAAACAGTTTTTGAATTTTGGTTATCAGATTAACAGAGTTGGAAGGGACATTGCAGGTCATCTAGTCCAACCCTCTGCCCAAGAAGGAGACCCTACATCTGCCTCTACCTAGCATTGAACTCACCACCTCCTGACATTTAACATTGTTTTTAATCTATGCTGTAGAATTAATATTTGGAGCATCATGAGATCTCCCAGAAAAGTCATGGTACCAGCTGTCTTTCTGTTATTCTTTCCTGGCCTTTCTTTTCCTGAAAATTGTTGGGGGTTTTTTTTTGGGGGGGGGGTGGTTTTGTTTTTGCTATTGCTTGAAATTTTTTACATGACCCATGAATTTCATCAGGAAACTTGTGTGAGTAGACAATATTAAATTCAAAAAGAACATTGTGCTATTTTTAAAGGGAGGAAAATAGTATTTGTAATAATGCCACATCCATGGGGAAAGAAAATTACAAACTATCTGCAGTTTTGTATTCATCTGAATCAAAAATTTTATCTTTATGCAATAATTTACCTTTAAAAATGAAATGTCACCATAGATGCATTGAAAATGCAGTGATAGGGACACACTGTTTTTCTGGCAAATTTATATTTTAGGGAGATGGGTAATCTTAAATTCAGAGTAGTCTTCCTTTTGGGTTAATTTGGTAATTAAGCTGAGATCAACAAGTAATAAATATTTTATCATTTCCCAAACTGAGATCCTGGACACGGGCTGCAGACTATTGTGGAAATTGACATGGTCAACTGATAACATGAAAACTGATAACATGAGAACTTGTCTGTTTTTTTAAAAACAAGTTATTCCAAAGAGGGAGAAAAAAAAAGTGTGTGTGTGTGTATTTGGTGCACCTTAACCAAGAACTTTGACAATGACTAGTTTGTTCTCCTACAGCAGAAGTATCCAACCTGGGCCACTTTAAGACTTGTGGACTTCAATTCCCAGAATTCCTCAACCATCCAGGTTGAATACCCCTCCCCCACCCAGTATTCCTATGCACAATTACTTTGGAATAGGTCATATTAACTATTGTTTGTATTAGAATTAATAACAATGTTTCTACTTTCATTGGGAGAGGTTATTTTGTGAATTCCTAAAGGTTTGGATTAAAATTTCGACCAACTCTTACCTTTAATGACTGAAGGTGATTGTGTTATAATTCAAAAATGTAAAAGGCATGTATTTTTTTTTATCTTTTGGGGAGTTTAAAGTGACACAATCATATGTTCTTATCTCCCCACCCACATTATATTTATTAGAAAAAGGAGCTGTTCCAACACACAAATTATTAAAACTACATGCCACATTATTAGAGTGGGTTTTATTCTATGAAGAGAAATAAGAAGTTATATTCAATATATACCAAGATTTGTTTCCTTCATTACAAGGAGGAAAAACTTTTAAGTAATGAAAAACAGCAATTATAGCTCTCATCTCAATTGTGTCTTATGTGCAAAAATCCAGATTTACTAGATGGCTACAAAAAAGCAAGAATATCTCTAAGTTATGAGCTGCTGTATGAAATATCGCTCACAGAATAATCAGTGCAATGTTTTGCCATTAAAGAGAACTTCTTGAGAAGGCATTTTTTAATTATTTGTTCTAAATATTTTGTTTCAGATGAGGAAGCAAACTAAATGCAGTACTGTAATTATGTTTACAATCATATTCTATTTTTACTGGCTCTTTTCAGTTGGGTCTATTTGTTATATTCAATTGCTAACTGCTTTGGCTAGAAAATCCAGATACAAATCTTATTTTTTTAAAAAGCAATACTTCTGCCGGCAATCATTTAAAAATAAGCCTACAAAATGCTTTCATGCAATTCTTTGAAGTTTATTTTTTTTAGTGAAGTTATACACAGGGTCAGACTGTAGCGAGATTTATTGATGAAGAAATACAAATGGCTGATAAAGCTGGTACAATAGGTTATCACACACAAAAAAAGCAAGAATGGACTTTCTCTAATTCTTTAGTTTTGCTAGTTCTGATAGTAGCACTTATGTAAACAGATGATCTCCACATATATTGAATTTTGATTGCTGTAATTTCCAGCTATCACTGTTTTGGAGACACGTGGAAGAAATAATTTTGTCTGCATGATATTGAGAAAAGATTATTTATATGTGGTTCATGCAGTTAAGAGACAGGCTTTGCAGACAGATTCAGAGATCCCATTTAACCCTAAACAAATGTAGGCATGTTCAATATTCTTTCTATTCATAATGCCACTTAGCTAAAGCAAAAAACTGAAGATAAATAATAATAAGCACAGAATAAGCACAGGAGGTACTGCTTTGATATCCTGTAGTTCTGGGTTTTTCAAAAGGACAAACCAGATCTCAGGAAATGTCTTGCTCTGTAGGTTTTAACCTACATCCTTTTCTTCTCTTTTAAATTAAAATACAGAGGAAATGTATCTTTGGGGGGGGGGCAGTGAACCGGGGAGATGGTATCTCCTTCAAACATTTCAGAAAGAAGTTATTAATTATGACTGATTAAATTGCTATCCCACTTCCTAATTAACACCACAGGCCCAAATGAGGCTCACAGTCATACAACACAGAAAATAGCTAACAATTACAGTAACAGCCATTTAAAAATGATATTAGAAATGGGAAACAACTAGGTTAAAGGAACTGTTTACAAAATAGCAGAGCACTGATGTGAAGAGATCAGGAGTTGATGATATTCACATTTCTCGCTCTTTTTTGTGTTCTTTCACTTTTAAAATACTTTGTGAATCTTTAAGAATTATTTAGCCATTGTCCAAGAAAGGAGAACAAATGATGAGAGGTTGATTTCACAATGTTACCAAAACTGTCTGTTTGGTGTATCAGGATGTGTAATCACATTTCAGACATTCTCCAAAAAACTAACATTGGAAAGAGTAGTATGAACTCAGAAATGATAAACTGGTGGTAGTTCTACTTGGTAAGTTCAATATTCAATATTGTGGAAATTGAGGTGCTTTTTTGAAGATACATACTGGTAACTCTGTAACTTTATTGTGGGCTGATGGGCAGCATCCTCGCAACACAATTTCCCTAAGCTTCCCATAATTTTCAGTAAGATTATTTCTCCAACCACAGTCTCTTCCTGGAGCAGAATGTATCAGGGAAAAGATCAACCATCCCTGCTGGGAAGCTGGACTTGTAGAGGCATATCAGAGAGCAGGGATTTAATCCAGTAATATATCTTTCAAGCAGGCCTGATTCATCCTTGTTCTTAGACATAAATTCTGGATCTTTATTCAGTTGACAGCTTTACTTTTCACTTGTTCAAGTGTCATATCAAAATTCCACACTATGCAGCAGTGTGTCTATCACAAAGCAAAGGCAAAGTTAAGGCAAAATATGCACATTTGTATAAGACTTCTTCTGATTATAATTACAAAAATCTAAATTGAGTTTCTGAAGTCTGCCTTCCCAGTGCGAAATTATGTGGTCAATTTGCTTCTCTGTATTGATTTTTTAAAACTCTCTTTCTGTGTTAAGATCATGAGAAGTGTTAATACCACTTTATAATGCCTTGGTAAGGCCACACTTGGAATACTGCATCCAGTTTTGGTCACCACGATGTAAAAAAGATGTTGAGATTCTAGAAAGAGTGCAGAAAAGAGCAACAAAGATGATTAGGGGATTGGAGGCTAAAACATATAAAGAATGGTTACTGGAATTGGGTATATCTAGTGTTGCTATATTTCAGGGGTTGCCACAAAGAAGAGGAAGACTAACTATTCTCCAAAGCACCTGAGGGCAGGACAAGTAATGGGTGGAAATTAATCAAGGAGAGAAGCAATCTAGAACTAAGGTGAAATTTCCTGACAGAACAATTAATCAGGGGAACAACTTGCCTCTAGAAGTTGTAAATGCTCCAACACTGGAAGTTTTTAAGAAGCTATTAGATAACCATTTGTCGGAAGTGGCGTAGGGTTTCCTGCCTAAGCAGGGGGTTGGACTAGAAGACCTCCAAGGTCCCTTCCAACTATTAGTGTTAGTGTGTGTGTGTGTGTGTGTGTGTGTGTTGAATTTTGGTGATACTTGCAGATAGGCTTATGGGTCTAACGTTCTAAGGTGGGCACTTATAAGGTCTCACAAGCATCATGTGAGTTTTCTCATGAGTGCTAAGACCAGACCTTTGTCGGAAACTCTTCCCGCATTCCATGCAACGGAATGGTTTCTCTCCTGTGTGGATTCTCTGGTGGATGGTGAGGTGTGAGCTGACACTGAAGGTCTTGCCACATTCATCACATTTATAAGGCCTCTCCCCTGTATGGATCCTCTGGTGAAGAATGAGGGTGGAGCTCTGGCTGAACCTTTTCCCACACACCTGGCACTCATACGGTTTCTCTCCTGTGTGGATTCTCTGGTGGATGGTGAGGTGTGAGCTGACACTGAAGGTCTTGCCACATTCATCACATTTATAAGGCCTCTCCCCTGTATGGATCCTCTGGTGAAGAATGAGGGTGGAGCTCTGGCTGAACCTTTTCCCACACACCTGGCACTCATACGGTTTCTCTCCTGTGTGGATTCGTTGGTGTTTGGCCAGATGGGAACTAACAGAAAAGCTCTTTCCACAATCGGTGCACTTGTACGGCTTCTCTCCTGTATGGATGCGGCGGTGGAGGACAAGTGTGGAGCTCTGGCTAAAACTTTTTCCACAGTCATTGCACTCGTAGGGCTTTTCACCAGTGTGAGTTCTCCGATGAATTGTAAGGTGGGAGCTGACGCCAAAGCTTTTCCCACAATCGGAGCAGGGGTATTGCTTATCAGCAGAGAGGCGAGATCTCTTAGGCTGGGCAAGGCTCTGCTGAGTGTGGGAAAGACTCTGCTGGGTCTGGCCAAGGCTCTGCGGAGTCTGGACAAGGCTATGCTGAGTCTGGACAAGGCCATGCTGAGTCTGGGCAAGGCTCTCTCCACACTGGATGCACAGGCTGGGACCAGGCCCCATATGAATTCCATGGGGTGGGATGGTGGCATTGTGTTTTGTCACTGGAGGAAGAAGAGGTGGCTTCACCCATCCTTTCCCTGCCTCTTCACTCGGCTGCCCAGCTGAAGGTTGTCCCCCATAGGCAGAGCTCTCAGGCCGCCCTTGGACTTGCTTCTGCATACCCTCAGGCCCGCCCGGCTGTGAATTTGTATTCATGGTTCCTCCGTCTGCCAAAAGAAAGAGAGTGAAGCGAGCAGTGGTGGTGGGGAAGTAACAGCCATTCATGCTGTGTTATTCTAAGGAAGGTAGTGGATACTTTACCAGGCTGCAGGTTTATTTTTTAGTTGTACTGCCCATCCCAGGCTCTGTAGAAGAACTGGATCAGGATTATTTAAAAATACCTCTCCCCTCTGCTAATGGTATCACTTAGACACCTTCTCGGCATATCCAAATCTGAGCAGTGACACAGAAGATTACACAAACAGGAGGTGCTAACCCTTTTTGCCAGTTCCTGACATTTGGTAGCTAACTCACAGAATTCTATTAAATTCTACCAGAATGTTTGAAATGATCCAGAAGCTATGAAATTATATAAATATTCAGAGACATTTGTGGACATAGTATAATGCAATTTTCCATGTTACAAAGTCTGTCCTACTCGATGAATAATTCTGTTTTTCAAAGGCTTAACATTTTCTGAAAGCAACAAAAACTAATGCAAGTATGCTAATTTGTTTTGGGATTCTCAGTTCAAATTAGCCTCAATATATTAATTTAAAAAGAAAAGAAAGAAAAATAAAAGTCCTTACCTAGTGACAGAAGAGTCCCAAAATTGTCCTGCACAATGTCCCTGTAGACAGGTCTCTGGCATGGGTCCAGAAGGGCCCACTGTATCTCAGCAAAATACATCATTCACTTCTGCAGAAGGCTCTGGCCTCTGAAAGAATAATTTTCCCTGCTCAGAAGCCAAAACTAAGTCTGTTGGCCTATAATGATGGGCCTTTCAGCCACAGTACTAACAATTCTGATTTCACACTAGTTGGCCTTTGATTTGCCAGCTCTATAAAGTGCCCTCCACTAGTTGTTGGATTGCAACGCCAATCAACCCCAGTCAGCATTACTGATGACCAGGGTATTGGGAATTGTAGTCCGTGCCAATCCTACAACAGTCCTACTTACCTGTCTTGCTGTACTTCCTAGCACTCTGTTAAGATCGTCTGGAAATTCAACAGGTGAAGCTTTTCCTGGCCCAGGAAGAGCTGTTAGGAGGAAAACTCCACCAACTGAATTTTCCTACTCATGCACCCATCCTTAAGAACTGCCATTCTCCAGTCCTGGAAGCTTTGTTGCTCTTACTGCTTTGCCCTCCTAACCCAGGTCTCTTGTTTGTGAGTCTATAGGGAGCCCTCGGTTTTCACACCAGCAAGTAATGGGGTGGGGGGGTGGGGGTTGGTTAAGAGAGACACAACTGTTGTTTGAAAGAGGCGCCGAAGAAAGTGCCACGTTTTGCCTCCTCTCGTTTATGATAGGTTTCCTCCCCCCCTCCTCCCTCCCTCTCACCGAGGAAGTTGCCTGGCTGGACTTTGGCCAGTGCCCACTCCCAATCACCTCGAGTTATCTAGACGACTCTGACTCCCCAAGCTGCCGACTTGAGAATCTTGCTTATCAAATGAAGAACAAATAAAGGCGAGACTACGCGTTTCCCGATTTGGTACAGCGGCTTGCTGGCTCTCGGGCTGGGTCGATTCCGGGCGGCTGCTACGAAAGCAGAAGAAACAGCAACAACAGGACTCGCTCTCTCTGGTTCTGACCTGGGAAGTTCAGCCCCCAAAATCGTCAGCGGCAGCGGGCGCCGCAGTAGCAGCAGCAGCAACGGTGGTGGCAGCCAAAGAAAAGAACAGCCGCTTCGCGCTCTCTCTCTTTCTCGCTTTTGACAATGGCCAGAGCCCTCTAGCGGCATCGCCTCTGCCTTGCACGCGGAACAAGCCCCCCAAAAAGGGGGGGGGGGAACCGGCCGGAAGCCTTCCACCCAGCCTTGGGATCCCCCCCCCCAAGAACACACACAGAGAGAGAGAGAGAGAGAGAGAGAGAGAGAGAGAGAGAGAGATCCCATGGAAAAGGTTGAAGAAAAATCTTTGCCACTATTGTTGCTGCTTTCTTTCTCACACACGCACGCACGCGGACACAAAAGATAAACCTTATTTTGCACAGCGCGGTGCCTGTTCAAACTTTGAATGAAACGAGATGTAAAAAGGTTGGTTTGGGGAGGGGGAGGCTAATGAGGCAATCTAGTCATTTGTTGCATAGGTGGAATGTGATCGATCAATCATCTGTTAATCGACTGGGGCTGGGCTATTTATTCATTCCCTACACTTTAACCAAGTTTTAAGGGCTGTGGCGTCAGTCCAACAAAAAGCATTACTTTCTTGGGGTTCCAGGAAGCAGTTTCAAAAGTTGATTAAAATGCGGATGTGATAGGAGTAAGATATGCTTGCATGCATTAGCCAAGTTCTTTGATAAATTGTCTAGTTGCTGAGAGGCAGAAAAGGCCATACAATGACTGTACCATCACTTTTTATTAAATTCAAGCAACATCACATTCCATTTCCACTTATTTCATCAGTTTGTTCCTCTGAGAAATAAAATTAACATGAGAAGGGCAGGTGGGTTTTCTGATGTTTCAGTTTTCTTTTGCTTTCCAAGATCTGTCTTTACTGACATATTCCATTACAAAATAATCTATATTCTTCATGGAATATTAGCAAGGAAGTCTTGCTATGGCAACATCTCTTGAACACTTATTCGGTTGTGTTTGGGATTCTTTAATATATTCAATATATTTTATTACCATGAGACCAATTATGAATCTATTAATTTTAATTATAATTCCTTGGGTCCTTTTTTAGTTGTAGTGATTTCATATATTTTATTGGATTTGCAATTGTTTTAACTGCTTATTGCCCAGAAAGCTTTGGCTGTGGGAATTTTTTTATTAAATACTATAAATTTAAAAATAAAAATTGAGGTTTTTAGGATACAAGTCAGGATCTATTTGAATGCCAGCTCCATGCATAAGACTCCAAATCTGAAGAAATTGGATAGCAGCTCTAGAATATAAATGTTTTACTTCCTTATTTACCACCTATGAGGAGGAGTACTGTGTGTTATATTTCACTGTCATTCTAGAAATGTCCCCAATTCCTGTAAAAGTAGTCACAGCCATCACAGATGGATTAGGTTTTTAAAAAAAGACATTTCAGAACCCCTTTAAAAATTATTTATTTCATACAGAGAAAAGACAGATATTATTAATATAATAGGAAAGATACCAAAGGCAATTTCAGGAAAACTAAGTATTGGGAAAAACAGATATCAGTTTTGCTATATTGCAACACCATTTTCAATTGTTGTCAAATTGTATCCCTTGGCATTATTACAAACAAAGAGAAAATACAAACAATCTAAACAGTCTGCCAAATAAATCCAAGTCTAATCCTACCTCAAAACAATATACAAACAAAACAAATGTACCCTCTAGACTGTGATGGGGAACCTATAGCACGTATGCCACAGGTGGCATGTGGAGCTCTCTCTGCAGGCACATGAACCGTTGCCCCAGCTCAGCTCTCAGGACCTTTGCTGCGCATGCGTGGGGGTGGGGTGCATGCAGGTGTCTGCAGGTGCAGGGAGGCAAGAGGTCAGACGCGCATGTGCAGGGAGGAATGCAGGGAGGCAATGCTTCCTCCCCCCCACCATTTTTGATCCTAGGAGGCTTCAGGGAGGACTGCTAGACTCAAAATGGACTGTGGTGGGGTGCGGTGCATATGTGTGCATGCATAGGGATGCAGTGGGTGCCGCACACATATTGCATTATGGGTGTGGGTACGCACATGTGCACTGTCATGTGCGTGTGCTTTTGGCATGCAATGACAAAAAGGTTAGCCATCATTGCTCTACACTGCACCCAAGCCTCAGGAAGCCCAAAATGAATTTATAATGTGGAAGAAAGCCACAGAGGGTATCTTTCTAGGCTTGGTGCTCTCCAGCTTTAAATGAACTGATACCACCTTGGGAAACTTTGGCCTAATGAAGCTACTCCCAGGTTGGTTCCAAATTAAGAAGAGGAAAGATGTGTCCCTCAATGATCATTCCCCATTGCTACAACCTTATGTCAAATGAAACACATTTTCCATGACTATTTCTTAGTCAAAAAAATAACACAACTTCATTTGCTATACAAATACTATAATGAAATCATAAGCTTGCAACTGAAAAAAAACCAATCTTAAATCAGGCTTGCTTGAAAATCGATGCTATCAAAACTTAATCATATTTCAGAAAAATATGTTTAGGATGAGAATAATCATGACAAAAGCCAAGTGGTTTATTAACAAGATTATTCAAAATGTACCATAGCTGAGTGCATTCAGATTAAACATTATGAACAACACTTTTCTTCCTAGCCCAAAAAGTTGTCCCAAGCTATAATGTCGCAGAGTGAGCTTTAGTTTTTCCTGTTATATGCTCCTTACTGACTATCATGGTTTAAGAAAATTACCATGGGAAATGAATCAGTAATGTGAAAGAATATACAAAGAACTAAAGACAACAGAATATTGGTCCACAACCAGTAGCGAGTTGCAGGCGGTATGCCCCGGTACGGGCATACCAGAGCCAGCCCGGAGCACCGGATACTGTTCTGGTATGGTGCTCCGGAGGGCCCGCCAAGCCGCCTGAACTCCTTACCGATGTTTAAAGGCTTCTGCGCTTCTGCATGGCACATACACCGCCTGTGCAACGCTCTGCAGAGCAGCTGGAGCATCACAGAGGTGCTTAAAAGCATGCACGTGCTGCGCGCATAGACGTGCACATTGCATGTGTCCATGAGGACACCGTCGTCCCCATTCCAACCGTACTGATTGGAATGGGATTTGCAACCCACCACTGTCCACAACCAATGCCTGCAGAATGAAATTTGATTTACACTAAAGCAGTATGTATCAATAATGGGGTCAGGGAGAAGACAGAATGGATAGAAAATGAAAATGATGTTATCAGTTTCAAAAGCACATACACACAAATAGAAAAACATCTAGCAGAAATGGATAAGCATTCTTTCCTTCTGGGCTTTTAAAATGCATAAAGGTTTGCATACAGTATGTTCATGATTATTTTTAATATAGAATGTTCACAACTGGATTGTGCCACCCAGTTTGAATTGATGTAATCCAGGGGTGTGAAACTCAAGGCCCACAGGGCCCAATCTGACCCACCGGGTGCTTAGATCTGGCCCACAGGGCTGTCCTGGAAATACCAAAGGACTGGCCCATAGTGCCTCTGTCAGCAAAAATGGAGCTTGGGAGGACTGCAGGCAGCCCTCCCGAGTTCCATGTTTGCTGGCAGAGGTTTTCAGGAGGCCGTCACAACCAAAAATGGAACCGGGGAGCCCATTTTCATTGGCAGAGCGCTCCGATCACCATGGGCACCCCCTGACACGGGTAACATTGAGTTGGCTGTGCCCCCTGCGCCTGCCTCACCCCCGAGGTCAAACCCAACCCTGTTGCGGCCCACAAATGAAATCGAGCTTGACATCCCTGATGTAATCCATTCTATGATCCTTCTCCATTTCATTTATACAATGGACCTTAAATACATCTCTGCAGATTTTCACAAGCCAGAGAGGAAGAAGGGATCAGTTTTGTCTTACTGTTTGCCTTGTGACTACTGCTTCTCCAGCAGTGCAGGTGCCTGTATTTTCCCATAAGATTAAACTCTCTTCACTGCAGCAAAGATGGCCACTAGTTACTAGCAAAAAAACAGTTACATGGTCTGGACTACACATTATCTTTTGGCAACTATTTCATCTTATTTGAGGAGACCACAGCCTAATTTCATTGACCTTCTAAATGTCTTAGATCAGTGTTTCTCAACCTTGTCAACTCTCATTAAAATGTGTATACTGTACTTCAGCTGGCAGGGGAATTCTGGAAGTTGAAGTCCACACATCCTAGACTTGCCAAAGTTGAGAAACATTTAGACTTTTAACTGTTTGGGGTTAAGACAGTTAAAAGTCTAAATGTTTCTCAACTTTATCAAAACAGACAAAACAGCTCAGATTGGGAAATAGCGAGAATTACACTCCAATATATCAAGAAAGCACTGGGTTCGAAAATGCTAAAGTATTATGTGCAATGCTTTAAAGCTGTACAACAATGAAAAGTATTGATTATGTATATCTTATATCTTCTTATACCCAAAATGGCTGAGTATATATACAACATATAGCAATAAACTATAAGTTGCAAAATACAGTTCATTCTGTAAAAAAAAAATAGATAAAATCAAATTCTGGCTTACTGCTACATATATATCCAACCAGGTATGCTAGAAAACATTAATGGAATGCATTTTGTTTATCACAGTAATCATTCATTGGGTTTCTGGTAATATAAGCAGATTCCTGATTGTTACCTGTTACCAGAGACATTTTTTATATGTCAAGGTCTGCATTTGGAACTATTTGCACCCTAAATATCTGAGTTATGGTATAACTAAAGTTTTTAAGAAGCTACAGAATGTTCATGTGAAAGTGACAATATTTCAGTGGAAAGGTCTAAGAAAAAGCAGACAAGCATGGAATCAATTAATTGAGGTCCCGCATATAAACAAGTCTATAGATGTTTTCCAGGAGGATGTTATGTATCCTGTCCTTTCCTAAAAAGAAAAGAATACAGGAAAGGAAGTATGGATTACTATAACCTTAACATATACATAGATATTTATTTTAAAGACACCAGTTACTACGCTAATATTAAAATGTAACAAAACTTGATGGCTTAAAAAAAACACCATCTCAAATTGGAAAGATGGAAGAGTTATTTTAGAATGGACAATCTAATTAAAGTGGAGCTACAGGGGCAGTTCTGCACTGTAGGAGGCCAGAAGCTTGATCCTGCCAGCATCTTAAACTATACTGAGTTGAACAATACTGGAAATTTAAGTTCAGAAACATTGGTAAACAAGATTTCCTCCTCAATTCTATTCAGAAGTCCAGGTTAATCACAACCACCCAGAAGGAACAGAAATCTAAGCATGTAGGCTGCTGATGAACTTTCCCAAGACAACATCGTGAGTAGGCATAAGTCACTTGGTCAATGACTGCAGTCACACACTGTGCTCAGACATGGTATGCTTAGCCACATTTTATTGAACAGATCACAATTAGAGCTTTACATGATATATCAAGCTACAAAAACCAGAATCTGCAAGTTAAATTTGATTGAATATACTAAGCTAAAACTAAGCAAATTGTGAGGGCCAGAATCATCAAAATCAGAGGTCAAGACCCCAACATCAGACAGGAACATAAAGTCAGTGGATGAACATCAATGAAGAGACTCATTCCATCCCTTCCGTTGATATGAAACCTACCCTCAGAGTGGATGTAGGGTTTGGACTTTGGGAATACACATGACTTGTACTATGCAGCTGGCAGTTACTGATTATTCCATTATTGCCTTTTTAGAGTCTGTAATAAAACGTTTTATCAAACATCCATCTCCTTGAATCTCTGCTGCCAGCTTTCAAGCTTGAGGAACTGTTGGGTGAAAAGCTTGATACATTTTTTAAAATTTACTAAGTTTATATGTTGTCCATCTCACTCTGAAGTGTTTATATGTGATTTAGTGCAATGAATGAAGCATATCAGCTTTTCCCATCATCTCTCATTTCACTGAAAATCCATTGTATTCCTACAGTATTGGATTTTAATCATTTATGTCCATGTCTTTCTTTTGATGATGCATTATTTTGTCTGGCAATATATACCGGTAGTTGGCTATTCTAGTTGGGAATCGTTATCACGAACTATAACTAACTGGAGCTACTGCACAGAATTGAAATAATGAGGATAGTGGGAAGAACACATCTCCATTATACAGAGATACAGATACAATACAGATGGCCATCTGGTGGGAATTAATCTTTGCTTTTTTTAGATCTTGCTAGAAGGCAGCATAAACTCACCTCACTTGTTTAAAATTATAGAAGGGGAAAAACATGTAACCCTAAAAATGAGTCTTACAACACTGTCATACATTATTAAAAAAATCTATAAAGAGCTTTTTAGAATGTCACATTTGGTTTATAATTTATCTTATGATCAGTCACTGATTAGATAAACCTGAGACTAAATGCAATCTGCTATACCAAATCATTGAATGTTTTTTTTTTTTTTTAAATTAATGTATTGGATAAGCCCAGCCTTATTGGGCTATTTCATAGTATGGCATATTACATATATCCAGAAAATTGATTATAATCCAATACCTAATCTTGGTATGCTATGTAAATATAAATATTGTGTAGAATGACATATGTACCAGTGTTTTGTAATATTGCCAAAAGTTTGGAAGAATTGAAGGGAAAAAAAGTTGTTTCTTTCAAGATAAAAATTGGAAATCTTGGGAAAACCTGAAATCCATGCATGTATTTTTTTAACACACACACACACACATACCCACACAAAACATCATTTATAACTGAAAATTGTATTGCTTGGCTTAAGAAAGTTACTGAGAAACTTTAAGGTTATGTATTCAGAGACAAGAAGCCTAATTCCATGAAGTTACTGGATCCCAAGAGTTCACATTAAAAGTCTTGAAACCTTTTCTTATTTTTGTACAAAATACCTAACTCACATGCAGAAGAATCAATGCGAAAGATCAACAATTACAGAATATTTGTTTCTGATTATTTGCAAACCGAAACCCTGCATATCAGCAAACAATTCACAATTCCTAACTAAAAAGGCTTGACTTCTATCAAAAAGATGACAGCATTCGAAGTACAGAAATGCATTTGGGTAACAAGAACTTTCCAGATGTTTTAACTATCAATTCCTATCAACCTCTGCCAATAATATCTGAAAGTATCAGGCTGCTTATCCTGGTCTATTATATACATAGGAATAATCAAGTTCTAATTTTGTGTATTCTTTTACATAAAAATATTCATACTACACTCTAAATAAATCATCTATTTCTTTCATTTCAAAAGAGAAAATATTTTATAACCTTTTGCTACTCACATTCCTCAATCATTTTCTATTTTTATCTTGGGGAGGCGGGAAATCACCAAATGACCAACTCAGCCCACTCCTTTCTTTTATATCTCCCCTGTAACATCCTTATCTGTGTTTTTAATTTCCATTGACATCAGTTGGTCCTTGGCTGATTGTTTCCTCTAGACTGTACCCCTTATTTGAAATACTATTTTGTTTTCTCTAAAATATGGCATTTATACTATGAACGGGAAAAACACAGTATACACATGAAAAATGTTTAAAGAAAACAGATTAGTAAAACATCAGATCAATAGTCTTCATGTCTTCTTTTTTTCAAACATCTCCACAATAACAGGCAAGTTCAAACATCCCTATCTCTTTCTCCTTTCGGTATTAGACAACTTGATTGTATAACAAAAATTCATCACATTTTTTTTTCCAAGACAGATAGTCTATCTTTTAGGGCAGACTAGGGAATGAACAGGCTGCTTCTTTTTATAAAGTCATTTTTCCCATTGGCGCTCTTTTACTCTCCAACTTGGCTTTTTTCTGACTTCAAAGAGATGAGCATGGCACTGGTTTTCTTCCTTATAGGTGCATTTTCATTTATGCTCAGGAATAGCATGACAGCACAGACCGATCTCACTTAATGTCTTCTGTTTAGCTATATGATGGCATGAAAAAGTAGCATTATGACCAGTCCTTGCACTTATAGCCATTGCAATGTCCCCGTGGTCACATGATTGAGATCCAGGTGCTTTGTTACCAATTGGCATTTACAACGTCGCAATCTGCTGTCATGTGATCGCCGTTTGCACACTTCACAGGGAGCTTCTGATAAACAGAGTCAATGGAGAAGCTGGCACCAAAATCACAAATTGTAGTGGCATAATATCTCACTTGACTGCCTCACATAACTGGTAGTAATGAAATTGTTGTTAAATCTTTTCTGTGCCATCAATATGCTGACTAAAGTATTAATAACTAGTTTTTTTAATAGCAGAAATCTGCATCCATAATATGGAAGATGGGTAAGCATTATCAGGAAAAGGATTTAATGGAATAATGATAGTAACTGATCTTTTAAAAAGTTCTTCCAATTCAGCTATTCTCAGTAAATACTCTCCAGGTGTGCTGAGTCTTCCAGCCTATATAATCGTTGCAAGCTGGTGGATTACATGAGTATGAGCCAACACTATTTGAAGAATATCTGATTGGGAAGGGGATTTTAGGGCTACCGAAAGCCATGGGAATTGAGACAGTTGTGACAAACTTGCCCTGCTAATGATAAGGTTCTAAAACATAAAGTGGACACAATCACATTTTGACAGATAGAGGTTTGGATTCTTCTATGCAGTTCTAGAAAAAACAAAAGGAAGAGGATAAAAGTTTCCTATGATCACATTGAATTATATGCAAGTAACTTTCTATTCCATTAATAAGCTCAATGTTTAGTGGGAGGCAATGGCTTCCCTCACAGACTCCATTACACCATGGTTGTTTAACAATGCTTTACTGAACTATACCTGACAAGATTTGCACATATTACGCTATAAGCCATAGTTTACAAATCACAATGGTTGGCTTCATGCAACATGTTTATCTCCCCCAAATAAACAAAAGAGCTAAAATGATTTACTGTAATATGTAAATCCAGGCATATTACAGTAGCTTAATAGGAGCTATCAGCAAAAAATAATAATTTGAATCCCAACTGACCAGCCTCAACTTTAGCAAAAATAAAATAAAATTCTCCACATTTAAAGAAGCTTCTTGGATGAGAACATCTTCAAAGAAAAACAAGAAAGTCCAGTTGCCTCTTGAAAAAACATCTTTGGGGTGTTCCCCAAAGTCTTTCCATGTCTTAGGTGGAGTTAAGGGAGAATATCTCAAGAATAGTTCAGCAAGTGCTGCCTCCTGAAATGCTAAAAAGCAGCCAACAATCACGCATTTTTACAACACAGAATACTATGCAAATAAAGTAGTGTTTGTGGGTTCAACATTTCTACGGCATTCTAACATCTTGAGAGAAAGAAAAATGAATGTCCAATTTAATGCAGCTTTCAAATCATAGAAAGCCAAAGAAAACGTACTGCCACTTGTCCTTCATATTCAGGAAGAAAAAAAAACTGGTGTATTACAGGCAGTGTATATGGAATTTAAGATGAAAATAACGAGATTTGCAAGAGCATGGAGGAATGGCAATCACAGTTAATTCTTGATATTCTTTCAAAAAATGTTTTTTTTAAATGCCGGATCAAGATAATTGTCAAAGAAGTGCTGGAATAAACAGGAAATGGTTCCTCCATCTGGTAACTAGAATGAATTCAGAATAGTTGACCATATATTGTATAAGGCTCCTTCAAATACAATTCACTTAGGCTAAAAGTCCTGCTTATTTGGCATTCAAGTAAAATCATATGTTTTGCAAGTTGTGATTAGTTCTTATTTAAAATTATTCCTATCTATTATTTGTCCATTTCTTTTTTGAAAATCCTTTTTGACAGTTTTGCTGCACAACTGCAGTCTTACTGCTAAGTTTCTCTGGTTTCAAACAGCCCATGTTATTACCAGTCCATACAACAGAGCCAAGTGGCCTATAGCTGTTTCCAGGTCCAAATGTCATATATAACTTAAATCATTGGCATGGTGAGCACTCTGTACAAGCATCCTTGATGTAAGAAAATCATCAGGTTCTTGTATGATCAGAGCTTCTAAACATTCTGGGAATCCCACATCCACAAAGAATCACAGATCAGGATGCAGACGAGAATCAGCAACAGATTGCTGTGATAACTTAGCAAGTTCCCTCAGAAGGATCAAAACAGAAAAAAGTTTGGTTAATCATAGTTTATCTGGAATTCCAGCTAAAAAAACTACCTGCTGCCTCGGCTGGTTTTTCTGATGCACTTCAGAACAGCAGGACATTCAAAGTTATACTTTAAATTTCTGCTAAAGGTTCCAGCTGTCTCCATACATTTTTTCTGCAGTTCCCTTTCTATTGAGACAGCAATTATTTAAAATCTTCTTTCTCCATTAAAAAATATGAACAGATTTAAATAAACAAAAAATTAAAGCAAAATTTTCAACGATTTGTTGAATTTGCGTCTAATTTATTTATCTACACTAGAACACACTGTTGTTGGGTAAGAAAATTTATCAGTATAACTCTTCTAGCTATTATTATTTATAAAAAAAGAAAAAAATAGTTCAAATTCACTAAAGCTGAAGGATTGGGAGATGCAAGACAAGATGTAAGAACTCATATACTCCCAATGGAAAAGACTTGAAATATTTGCAGTTTCACATTGCAGTTTCACTTGATAAAAGTCTTGGTCTATTCCTTGTTTCTCCCACAAAAAATATCTAGTACTGGACATGAATAACTATCAATATTTCTGGTAATCGCATGTACATTTATGATGGATATGTAACCCAAATGGGGCTACTGAGAAATAAGTGGGAAGTTACCAGCATGTCACAATACCAAAATTTGCAAAAACAGAGAAAAATAATTAGAAATAAAATCCAAAGGCAATAACTTCCTCCCTTCAAAAGAATAAAATTAAAAAGAAAATCAATATCAGAGCATGCATAGGAGCTCCAACATGCTATTAAATGAAACAGTTCAAAGGAAGGGAAAAATAAGTTGCGTTATCTCTGAAAGATGATATGGCTATGTAGTCTTTGAATAAACTATGCTGCAATAGGATGTTGCAGGCACCACTTGTAGTTAGATGATTGTAAATCAAGCCTCAAAGTCTTGAGAGGCATGGAAGAGATAGACAAGTCTTAAGAATTGGCTTCAGATTCAATAACATTTCCTTCTGATGCTACAGGCTACTGAGGAGCTTAAGATGCAGGCACAATAACTCCCTATTCCAATGCTAGTCTCTTAGGTGAGCATGGCACATAATTCTAACAACAATATGATCAGGCCATAGGTTCAAAATCCAAAGCTGATGAAATAATTTCTCCAATTACATTCCAAGGGAATTGCCAAAAAGATACTTCTGTTGATTCAGATTGTCACATTTACATCATAACTGCACAACGTAGATAATGCTGGAGGACAAGGCAGAGGATTTTGAAATACCTGCCAGGGAGTCATAAATGCATAAGTCTGGGATCTTTCTTACCAGAAAAGGTGGAATTAAATACAGCATTTATTTATATAACTGAGTAAAAGCACACATAAAACCATGAGTGACTGGCAGGTTTGAGGGTTTTTTTTCCTTAAAGGAAAAAAAATAGAAAAATTTGCTGTTTTACCATCTAAAATTGTTTTTGCTTTGGGTACTGCTGAACTGAAGTGGCAAAAGCTCAAAGTACCTCAATTTGTCTGCAGACTAGGTGTAAATATTGTTGAGTGTGTTGAACTCATTTCCTTCTAAAAGTAGATTTTAGAATGGAGAAAAGAGATATAAAGTTAAAGGGTAAGTCCAAGTACTTCATACTGGCCAATTCTCATACTTGTTTGGATTGCAGCAGGCACAAAACCCAGCCATTAAACTTTATGAGTTTTCTGGTGTCTTACAAGGTGAGAGGCAGCCCCAAACCCTTTACCACAGCTGGCGCATTTGAAGGGTTTCTCTCCTGAATGTGTAGCACGGTGACGCTCAAGGTGTGCATAACGGGTGAACCCCTTTCCACAGTCTCTGCACGAGAAGGGCTTGTCCCCACTGTGGATGCCCTGATGGCGCTGGAGATGGGCACTACGGGTGAAGCATTTGCCACAACGTGTGCAGCGGAAAGGACGTTCTCCGGTGTGAGTTCCTTGGTGGCGAGTGACATGAGCACTACGGGTGAAAGCTTTACCGCAGACACCACATTCATAGGGGCGCTCTCCAGTGTGAGTGCTGTGGTGGCGGGTCAAGTGGGAATTGCGGCCAAAGGCTTTGCCACAGTAGGTACACTTGTAGGGTCGTTCCCCAGAATGGGTTTCCTGATGCCGGGCCAGGTGGGCACTGCGGGCAAAAGTCTTCCCACAGTAGCTGCAGCTGAAGGGACGGTCTTCCTCTGGCACTTGCTGTCCCAGGCGTTTCCCACCTAAAGGGCGCTGCAGTCCAGAGTGGGTAGCTAAATGGCGAGTAAGGTGTGAGTTTCGCCGGAAACCTTTCCCACAGTAAGGGCAAGTGTGTGACTTTTCCCCCATGGTTGCCAGTCTTGCGAAAGTGGTGGTGGTAGGAAAAAGAAGACCCTGTCTTAACACTCTTCAGGCCAACTCCTCTGGCAGGAGGCTAAAGTGCTCTACCTCAAAAGACACTTTCCACCTCTGAACTGAGTTAGCAGTTGTAAATTTCTGGATTTTTGCTTTCTTCTAAATCTTGATAAACATCTCTGATATCCTGGGATATAACTTTGCCCTCAGAACCTGCTGGGGAGAAAAACAGAATTTCAAAAAAAAGAGAAAGAAAAAGAAAAGGGACACAAATCCTGCCAAGATCTAAGTAATTTGGATGGAAAAGAAATAATGTAATATGGAGTTTAAAATATGTATTTTATTCGTATCTTCTCTGTAATTCACATATACACAATCTAGATAGTTTATTTTTAAAAATATGTTGATGCTATTTGTTCAAAATATTCTCTTTTTGAGGATGAAAGTTCTTTAAATTAAAACATGATAATTGGTATCAATATAAATGGCCCTGATTATTTGTTTTTACTGATTGGATCCAGATTTAGCCGTGTCTAGAGTGGGCTCGCTGAAAATCAGTGGGATCCATGACTGAGGTCTTTTCTTGGGTCTAATAAATTTATTCTAAGCATGACTAAGTCTGGAGCCAAGCTAGTGAAATGTAATTGTATTACTCTGAAGTGGTTCATCCTTCATTCAACTCACTTTTCTTCTTTCAAAATCATTGTATCATTTAAATATACACAAAATAAACAAACTATGGCTGCATAAAAATCATATGTTTGTTTATTTGTCTATGCTAGTCTCTTCTGGATCCTGATAATTTCTATAAGCTACTGTCCTTCGCTTGACTGACAGCAAGGGTAAGGTCCTTGTGGTCCAATTTTGCCAAAAAGGTGCTTCCAGCAGCATGATCAATGATGATGGATGTTTGAAGTTGTAATTCTGATATGCCACATAGGCTTTTACTCCATCTGAAAATAAAATCCTCTAAATGATTGGATGGGCTTTCTTTTTAAGTAAACCTATAGGGTTTCTGTGCAGTTTTCCCTAGGACGGAAAAAGGGGAAAAACTACTTATCAACTTTGTTGCCTGAGAATATAAAAATGTAATTAATAGGAGCAGCTGATTGCATTAATATGTTTTCTGATACTAAATTAATTATAAATGTACTTACTGTAATTAAATTCTGCAACTTAAGTAGAGGAAATCAGGAAATCACTTTCAAAGAAGTTTTGATATTGCCCTATATGTTATGTTGCCACAATGTTTCAATCAAAATTTTAAAAAAGTAATTTTTTAAATTATGCGTTGGAGCAAATGTACTTTTTTAAAAAAAGATATTTTGGATTTCTTTTGAAAATATATTGAAAATTGTGTTCTCTTAAAGTATCTGCAATTCTAGCCTCTGGAATATTGCACTGTTACCATTCATTTGGCACCACTTTGTTTGATAGTTATATCTCTACAGATATTTTTTTATTCTGACATGATACTGCATTGTTAGAGATATTAGAAGTTCAACTTTTTTTTGCATTTCAAAATTTTCAAATAGAAAAATGTGTGTCTGACCGTCCAGAATATTGTTCCCCATTAGATTAATATTTAATGCTGTTATTATTTATATAATTCATACTCCATCATTCTGCTCTTGGAGCATTCAGCATTTGTTAAGACAGACAAACAGTCCTGACCTGACTTCAGTGCTTTCCTTCAATCTATAAGGAGTTAGATAAACAAACAGAGGCATTTGTCAATAAGTTTGATCTAGTAGTTAAGACACCAGACCAGAAACTGGGAAACCCTTAATTTTAGTCTTGTTTTAGGCATGAAAGCTGGCTGAATGACATTGAGGCAGTCACCCTGTCTTATCCCAATCCACCTCACAGGGTTGCTATTGTGGGGAAAATAGGATGAGGGGGTATCCTCCTCCTTGAATTATTTATAAAATTAATAAGTTTAATATGCAAATATATAAAATAAAGGCCCAAGATAAATTAATTTTTAAATGGCTAATGAGAAAAGAGATTGGAAGAATTAAATCAAACATTTCTATGAACAGCACTGATATCCTTAAAAAGAAATAAAGTATTTGTATTTTTTTTGTATGCGTTATAGCTACAACCTAGAAGAAACAGGTAATAGCCAACACTGCCCATCGTACTACACAAGTACAGTAATGGATCGTGCTCAATATCAATCGTGCTCCCGTCTCAGAAATAGATAAAATAAAGAAGAAAAAGCCATAAAAGAAATATAGACAGGACTTTCCACAGCAGATCCTCCCCGCTGCGAACTACTCTGGGAGACAGATGAAGAGTGAATGGAGGCGGTGGGTGGAATGGATGAAGCTGCCTTTCTTACAGGCGTTCCTCCCGCCCCCCCATAAATGGATGTTCTTATGAGTTACGGGTTGCCCGTCCTTCTCCCCATAAATCGGTCTCTATACGGCTGGATCTGTCCGCGGAATCTCACCGATTCATTCTCCCTGCAGGGATCCAAGCGGGCTTTGCACGCCTTCGCCAACCGCAGGCCCGGGAACGAAAGAGGCACTCCCGTGCCTGTGTGTGTAGGCAGTGGCGGGTTCGAGCACAGGAAAGCACCCCTCGAGTCTATCCTGTCCCCCGCCTCCGCTTTGCTTGACAGATCCAGCTCGATGGTTTTAACCCTCTTCCTGCCGACCACAAAGCCACGCGCCAACTTCCTCTACAAATCGTTGAGGAAGCCACAAACAGAGATTTGGAAAGCGCATGCGCAATGAAGAATGGCGGCTAGCACCTATTTGCTTATTCCTTTATCTAACTTTTAAAAAACTCATTCTAATTTTGAGAAAACATCAATTTCTTAAGATAAGAACCGAACACGTGTCTTAAAGAAATAATTTTTGTGTGTGTATATGCATAAGGTGACCAGATTTTCAGATTGGTAAAGAGGGACACCATTGAGGGGGGGGGGGGAGGTGGCTTGATTAAAATTTTTATTTTTTGTCAAAAGGTCACCCCAGGACACTGAAACCAGCAAAAAT